AAAACTTTCGAAAACTCACTCATGCTCTACAAAAGTGATAACCAGCATCCGATTTCCATATGTGTATGAATGCTCATTTATTTCATTTTGGCTATTACAATATAAATGTATTATAATATATAGGATATTTTCTTAGTGAACAAAAAAGTACAGGTAACCAAGAATTAACTTATATGAAAAAAATGAAATTCGTCGCATCACTAAGATTTCCCGAATCAAAGTTGCTAACTATCAACGAGGAGAGTATGTAGTAAAATCAAAAATGAACTTAAGGCAGAGAATCCAAGCGAACTGTGTAATTTCTCCAACAAAGAAGAGTTCCAAGTTGTTTTACGTTCTATTTTTGCTTTTTGGTCAATGCAATCAGATGTATATGAAATGTTCTATTACTCAAAAAATAACGAGAATTAACCAAAACTTGTACCACTTTTCATGTGACCACTTTTTAAATAAAGAAAGTAGCGCAAACAATCTCTGGGATATTTTATTAATTCTTTTAGATCTTTATATAGACATCATAGAACTCTGATCTTACCATTGCAATTCTTACCAGATTATTTCTTGTTAATTTTCCTCCTTAATGCCTTCTCAAATTAAAAAAAAGTATGACTTATCAGATAAAATAAAAGTGGGGGTGCGAGACCAAGTTGGGGGTTTGCATCCCCGATGAAAGTTTTTAAATTCAAGAATGTCTATTTTGTGGCAATTTGACGATTAGTTTTAAGCAGACGTAATTTGTCTTTGATTTTGATCATGGAAAAAAAGTATTTATTGCGATTTGTTTCAAATTTTACGTTTCTGATGCAATAAAGGTTTGAAATACACGTATTTATTACATATTTTTTACTCATCAAAATTATATGTACTCATTTGCATATAGAAAGCTACGCGCCTGCAAGATGAAAATAAAAAAAAAAAGAAACCTACGACATGAGATTCCAGCAAGATTTGTTCTTCGACTTCTTGCGTAATTGTCAGTATCAAGTTCACTTGATACCAACAGGACGGATGGCTTCACTGCGCTGTTTGGAGAAAAGACATTTTGTTTCGTAAACTGACTTACCCCATTGTTCTCACAGACCACCCATGGACAAGACAATATAGCCATAATTGGATAATTGCCGATATCGTGGTGTGTCGCGAAAACAGTTCCAATACCTGACCTTGCCATTGAGTACTAGGATTTCACGGCTGACTGAACAGCGATGCCGAGGGCATAACGTTGACATGTAGCGATTGTCTGCAGTAATTTAAATTAAAGCCCCCTCATAGGCATTTTCGCCAACAGCAGTCTCAAATGGGTAATCATGTTTTACTTTCGCTATTGGTGCCAGTGCACGAGGCGACCGCCGTGATATATTTTTCAATGAAACTTTTAAGGCCGTTTCAGATATTATACACATGCATTATGAACACAACGTCTCCCCTCCCCCCCACCCCCAGCCCCGTAGGCACCTGTCACCTGTGATTTGAGCTGAATGAATATGCGGCGCAGTCAATTATATACCAATTAAGGCCGGATTGCGAACTTGATTGGATATTGGATTCCGTTGATTGAAAAGGGGCTAGGTGAAGTTAAGTGTATTCATGTTCTGCGACCGATGTCGGATTATTTGAACGAGGCAGATTTTTCAGCTGGTGTCTGACCTTATACAGCAAGGAGAAACAGTTGAAACACCTTTAGCGGACAGTTTCAGGGATAATTTGGTGATGTTTTAAAGAAAGAAAGTGATAACGTCAGTTTGACACAGTTGGAACCTTTTAATTCCGACGCAGTCTTTATCGGCATTTCATAGAACTGATACCCAAGTCTCGAGAAATTCAGAACGGTTTGGACCTGCTTTAACGTCCGACGATATCGTCAAAAAACACATGGAGAGGATCCAATACTAAACGATGTGTTTCAATAAAAACAGCCTTGGATTTCTGGCTATGAAGATTTGTCATCGAAATTAAAAGGGAGGATGGAACTCCGTACCCTCTCAATACCTTAGTTCAAATTGATTTAAATCGCCCGGAAATAAATATGTTTCAACGCAGCAACACATGCGTTTGATTACTTAAGGAAATCACTGAATTCCCGCATGAAAGAACTCACCTCATTTGGAATTGGTGTACATGTTAAAACCAATGACCCTGTGTTGCCTGGCGATGAGAATACATTCAGGGAATCGAGTGTTTAGTTTCAATTTACAATTCAATTTATTACCAAATACACATTGCATATATGGGTGTACAGAAATATACATAAAGATAAATACTTTACAAATGTCTTGTACAATGGCGAAGAACATATGCAATAGATTCAATTCCAGAGTGTTTAGTTTCAATACGGCTGAAGGATTATCAAATACAGTGTGTTTAGAGGCATGGAGGAACACAAGGACTTGGAAGCCGAACAGAAAAAAGTGAAACTGATCGCGAAACCGGAAAAGAATATTTTATGAATTCCAAAAACAGTGAAGGAGGACTGAACCAACGGAACATATCACCAAAAAGGTAAAACATTTTGCTCGACAAGAAAATCCCAGATGTTTAGTAAAATTATATTCATTGTACCTGTCCATTATTCCCGGAAAAGGAAACTTTTACAAGAAACCCACGGATAAATTTAAATATTTTCGATTCCGTGCTGCAAATGAAATCCAGACGAGGAAAACGTGTATGAATAACCATTCATAATATTCCGAGACAGCGTTGGTTTGGTTATCGTGGTAAAGGACGATTAAAAGGTGAAAATTGACATTTGAATGTTCATATTTGTGAAATAAAATGTCTTTGAAAAATAATCGAATTTGTGTATTTTTATTGTCATGATTAAGATTTGTTTTTGTCATGTTTTTACGAAAGAGAACAGGACTGTCGCCTCCTCGACTGTGATTGACTGGCGTTTCCCCCTGCCAATCAGTCGAGTAGAGTTCCATCCACATGTTTTCGTATGAAGATATTTTTCCTCGAGATAAAGACCAATCTTCGTCATGAAGATCACTATCTATTAGATTATGTCGGATTAAATCCTTGACTACGATTGGCTGATATACACGAAAATGCCAAAATCGCCGTCTGAATGTAACATGGCAGTGTTAGCGTTGGGCTCGGGACTAGCCCAAATTATTCTGACGTTTAATCGACTTTTTTTATACCGATATAAAAAAAAGTCGATAAAACGTCAGGATAATTCGGACTAGACTAGCATAGGTAAATGCTAACCAGTCAGGCCACGCGACCGTCGCAGCATGAAACGTACCCGGGGGCGGTCGACATTTGCTGCTAGCTTAAATTTGGCTCTGTGGCAACAGGTAATCACAGCTTCTCCTAATATCACAAAACTACTCTTAATATTTTTGAACCACTCGTAATAATCACTTACCACCCCTAATCTTATAACACATGTGTTAATCTTATAACACACGATTTAATCTTATAACACATGTGTTAATCTTTTAAAACATGTGCTAATATCATTTAAAAGTTGTAATGATTACGAGCAAAATGAGTAGAATAAGAGAAAGGTATCTCCTAGTGAAAATAAAGGATACGCTGAAGCGAGTGCTGAGGCACAGTATTACACTACCATGGATGAGTGACATGAAAATGATCAGCGTAGCCTATTAGGGAATGAGCCCATGCAAGATCCTATGGAGAGAACAGAGCAATACGCTGAGAGGCATTCATCATATGCTCCCTTACCTCCAGGGCCCTCTGAACTGTCGTCAAATGTCGCCCCATTCAAACCACAAGAAAAGGGAAGACCTGCAAGTGAACGTTTTGTAGAATCGTATGGTGCCCCACCTCTGCCAGATTTGCCTCAGCAATCCTCACCACCTCATTTTCATTCCACAGACTCCAGTCTTGGGATTGAATTTGGTAGGTTTCTTGTGAAAAAATACCTATTGATGTCAAGATTTACAAAGTTTCAAGATGATCCAGTGACCTATAATGTGTGGAAAGGTACTTTTAAGAATATTACTGATGAACTTGGAGTGACGCCCCAGGAAGAGACAGATTTGTTGATTAAATGGCTTGGACAGGAGTCCTCTAGACAAGCATTGAATCTTCGGGCAGATAACATGCACAACTCAACACGAGGGTTACAACGCATCTGGCAGAGCCTTGATGAAAGCTATGGAGCGCCTGAACTTGAAGAATCAACATTGAGGAAAAAGATAAACAATTTTCCAAAACTCCTCAACAGAGACTACAAGAAACTGTACGATTTACTTCGTGAAATTGAGTCCCTTAAGGAGACACCCAGATACTCGTCTCTCTTAGCATCATACGACAACTCTGTGGGAATCAACCCTATCCAAGATACCTTATCACCTACAGAACAAATGGATGGGAAAGGCAATGAAGTACAAGATGGAACATGGTGCTATTTTCCCCCCTTCACATTCTTTGTCAAATTCATAAGGGAACAGGCAGTCATGTTGAATGATCCGAGTTTCATTTTCGACTCAACTGGACCCAAGAACCTTAAACCGAAGGAGGATCGTGTATCCAAAAATGTACATCACATATCGGCACACAAAACAGATGTAGCACAACCTACAGACAGCGTAACACTAACAGATGAGAAGAAATGTCCTCTTCATCCCAACTCAAGCTCACATTCCCTTAATGTGTGTAAGGAGTTTATCAAGAGACCAATTGAAGAAAGGAGACAGATCTTAAAGGATAATCGGATATGTTTCAAGTGTTGTGTCAGCGATAAACATCAGATAAAAAATTGTAAAGCCGAAATCCATTGTGATGAGTGTAACAGTCCGAAGCACGTGACAGCTTTACACATGCACAGAGCGGTGAAGTGAAACGGTAAATGGGGTAACGACAGTGTGTCCTCAGCGAAGTCAAACTTCATAGATACCATTCCTGACGGCGGGGAGGAGAGAGAAATCAGCAGTAAATGTACTCAGATCTGTGGTACTTCCTCAATGAGCAAATCCTGCGTTAAAATAGTAAAAGTGAATGTTTACCCCAAGGACAGACCAGAAGATAGGATGATCTTGTATGCTCTCATAGACGATCAGAGCAACCGGTCCTTAGCAACACCCACGTTGTTAGATAACTTCAAGGAAACGTGCAGTTTTGAAAGGGTGCAGTGCTCCTTGACTTCGTGTGCTGGTACAGTGTAAACTGCGGGACGCAGAGCACCAGACTTTATTGTGGAAGACATTGATGGTGAAAGGAAATATGAACTTCCACCGTTGATTGAATGTGAGGACATTCTTGGCAACAAGGACGAAATTCCTACACCTGAAGCAGCAGCTTTACATCCACACCTTAAAGATATTGCTGCAGATATACCACAATTTGACAACAGTTCAGAAATTCACCTATAACTTGGCAGGGATGCTGTTGATATTCACCATGTATAAGATCAACGAATCAGCCCTAGCGGTTCTCCCTATGGCCAAAGACTGGGCCTAGGGTGGGTAATAATCGGCAATGTGTGTCTAGGAAAACTCCATGCTCCTGATCTTGACAATCTGAACGTCATGAATATGAAAACATATGTAGTGAATGGACGCCATTCAATATTTCCACAGTGTGAATACAACCTGTCTGTAAAAGAAACCATCAGGACTGACAAGCTGTTCCAGAAAACAAAGAACGATGAGGAAGTAGGTTGGTCCATAGAGGACAGACAATTCATCGAGTTGATGGATAAGGAGTGCTATCGAGATGGTAAAGCTTATTGGACAGCCCCGCTACCTTTCTTGTTCCAAGAACACAAATGCCAAACAACCGCAAGATGGCATTACAGAGAGCCATGGTACCCCATAGCAGCTTGCAAAAGAATCCTGTGAAACGAGAACACTTCATTACCTTTATGGAAAAAGTATTGACATCTGGAGCAGCCGAGGTAGTGCCACCCCTCAAGGGCAAAGTGTGGTATTGACCTATATTTGGAGTTTACAATGCCCAGAAACCCAACCAGATAAGAGGAGTTTTTGATTCATCAGCCACATACCAAGGATTGTCGCTAAACGACACACTTCTTTCAGGTCCCAACTTAACTAACGACCTCCTTCGCATACTTTGGCGCTTCAGAGAAAACAAGTTCGCAGCAGCTGCAGATATAGAACAAATGTTCTACTCGTTTCATGTGAAGGAGGAACATCGGGAATTCTTACGCTTCCTTTGGTATCGGAACAACGACACTAATATGGAGCTGATAGAGTGTCGGATGAAGGCTCGTGTCTTCGGCAACAGTCCTTCTCCAGCTGTCGCAGCCTATGGCCTAAGGAAGAGCGTAGAAAGTGATGATGTTGATACAGATGTGAAAGACTTCGTGAACCGAAACTTCTATGTTGATGACGGATTGATATCCTCAACTTCAGAAACAGAAGCGATCAGTCTCCTGCAAAGGACTCAAACAACTCTGCAGAATGGTGGGAACTTGAGACTACACAAGTTTATCTCATACAGTCCAACTGTTATGAGTGCATTTCCAGCGAAAGATCTGAATAAGGAGGTAAAGACACTTCAACTAGACAAGGATGACCTCCCAACCCACAGAAGCTTAGGTCTTCTTTGGGATTTGAGCACTGATAACTTCCTGTTTGACACTCAGCTTCGAGAGAGTCAACATACACGTCGTGGAATCTTATCAGTGTTAAAAAGTATTTATGACCCTCTTGGTTTCGCTGCTCCATTCACTATTCGAGGAAAAGTGTTGATGAGGGACATAACCAAAGGATATGGATTGGATGATCCGCTTGAAAATAATGCTGTGGAAAAGTGGAAGGCTTTCCAGAAGTCTCTTGCTACTCTGCACGAGTTGGCAATACCGCGGATGATTGTACCATTGTCGTTGAGCCATGGCACTGATACAAAGCTTCACGTGTACTGTGATGCCTCTGAACAAGCTGTATGTGTGGTAGCTTACCTGAACACACAAGATGAGAAAGGAAACCAGCATATTGGATTTGCTCTGGGAAAAGCTAAGGTGGCCCCAACTCATGGGCATACCATCCCAAGATTGGAGCTGTGCGCAGCCGTACTGGGAACAGAAGTGGCACAGACAGTACAGCGAAATTTGAACATAGATTTAAAATCAACTTGCTATTACTCAGACAGCAAGGTTGTGTTAGGGTACATCTACAACAAGACCAAACGTTTCCACAACTACGTCGCCAATCGAATACAGAGAATCCTAGAGGTATCGGATAGCGATCAGTGGCGTTACATTTCAACAAGCGACAATCCTGTAGATTATGGAACTAGAGGCTTGCTTACAGCAGAGGACATTTAAGAAAAATGGCTTTACGGTCCGAAATCCCTAGATAGGGATCGATCAGCAGTAGAGATGGAGGAATTTCCCCTCCTTAACCCAGAAGAAGACAAGGAAATCCGAGTGGACTCTCGCAAAACAGAGATCAACACTATCTTGTATAGCATCATGGAGAAATTTTCTGATTGGTCAAGACTGGTTAACACTTTGAGTGTACTCAAGTGTGCTATAAGGAACTTCAGAGCACGCAAGGTCAAAGGAAACGTTTCTGAAACCAAGGACCTTAGAACAGATACAGAAAACTTTGTCATCAGTCAATGTCAAAACGATCAGTACTCAGATAAAATTGAATGCCTAAAGAACGGTCGGTCGGTTTCAAGAACCTCACCTATTAGTTCGCTTAATCCGGTTCTTGATAATTCCGACATTCTGCGTGTTGGAGGTCGCCTGAATGTTTACGGATGTTTACCGAAACTCATCCTGTAATCTTGCCTGGGAAGAGCCACATCGCTAGTCTTATTGTGTGTCATTTTCATAAGAAAGTCAGACATCAAGGGAGACTATTCACAGAAGGTGCAGTCAGAAAGAATGGATATTGGGTGACAGGCGCAAAAAGACTTGTTTCAAGTATAATACATCAATGCGTGACATGTAGGAAACTATGAGGGAGCACACAGCAACAGATAATGGCTGACTTACCTCGTGATCGCCTCACACTAGGTCCTCCATTCACATCGGTGGGGATAGACACCTTCGGACCATGGTCAGTGGTTTCAAGGAAAACGAGAGGAGGCATGGCACAGTCTAAACGTTGGGCCATCATTTTTACCTGTTTGACTACACGCGGAGTGCACATCGAGGTAGTCGAGGAAATGTCGAGCTATTCCTTCATCAACGCTCTACGTAGGCTAATCGCGCTTCGTGGTAATGTCAAGGAAATAAGATCTGATCGAGGAACTAACTTCATTGGAGCCGCAGACGAACTCAAACTTAATGTTATCAATGTCGAAGATGGTGCAGTTCATGCTTGTTTGCGCAACTCTGGAATAACCTGGAGGTTCAATGCTCCCCATTCTTCTCACATGGGAGGAGTTTGGGAGCGAATGATTGGGATTGCTAGGAACATTCTTAACGCGATGCTACTTGACGTTAGGACCAAAGATTTGACACACGAAGTCTTGGTTACTCTCATGGCGGAAGTGACGGCGATGATGAATTCTAGGCCCTTGTCGCTGATATCAAGTGACCCTGAGGATCCTGTGATTCTCACTCCAGCAATTTTATTGAACGTGCAGTATAACCCTTCTGTAAGTGTCAACCTCGGTGAAAAAGACATGTACAAAAAACAATGGAAAATGGTCCAAGTTCTTTCAGATATCTTTTGGAACAACTTTGCGAGCCAAGGGTGTTCAATACGATACTCTCCTATTCACCCTTGGCGGATCTCACGACGAAATCGAAGTTCCCGCGAAGCGCAATCTAGTGGAAATTGCGGTTATGCCCCTTACTATCACATAACTCCTGACTAATCAAATAGCTCATACTATTGAACACCAAAACAGAAAAATGGCCGCGACCATAGATCAATGTGCTATATGCGATACATTCAGAATTAAGGAACTTCGAGACACACAGATACGGTCAATAACCGCAATTCAAAATGGAAAAGACGTTTTTGTTGGGACAAGAACAGGGAGCGGTAAATCTCTAGCTTATGAAAGCTATCCAGTGTTAAATGAAGGGAAAATCGTGCTGGTGGTTGCACCACTCGTAAATATCATTAACGAACAATGTCGCCGTCCCTGTGAATTAGGATTCAAGGCCACGTATATCGGAAAGGACGACAGCGACACTGAGGGTATTTTAGCCGGACATTTTGATTTTGTATTTGGTGGCGCGGAGCATTTGGTAGAGGACACAAGATGGCGAGCTATGCTCAAATCTGATCCTTACCAGAGCAAACTTGGCCTGATGGTTGAGGATGAAGCTCACACCGTAATACAGTGGTAAGTTGCTTTAACAGCGTATTACACCTTACTCTATTGCAAAAAGAAAAATCTTGCATCAGAACATTTTCCAGTGGTTTTGAATAGTAACATGTGAAATTATTTAGCTTTGATTGTAGTCACCCTTAAAACATCTACAAATATCAAAATAACAAAGCAACGACAAGTTAAACTGTTGATGACTAATTTTATGGATAATAGAACATACACCCTATATGTTATTCTTTTAATTCAAGGGGTGAAGGCACAGAGAAGGAAGGACCATTCCGTGGCAGTTTTTCCAGAATAGGAGAATTGAGGTCGCCGTGCGACAAGGTACAGATGCTGGCTTTGACTGCAACTGCTGGGCCAACAGAGAGACGAAAAATTATGAAACCTTTATGCTTTAAATCATCATGAGGTGATTCTTGATTCTCCAGACAGGCCTAACATTAAGATAACTTCAGTGCGTATTCCAAATAATGATGACCTTTCCACTGTGTTCAAGTTCTTAATTGATGACTTTCTAAACCAAAAAGAAACATTACCGAGACATGTGATTTTTTGTGAAAGTATAGCAAATGTTTCAAAAGTGTATTTAACATTTCTAAAACATATGGGACAGTCTCGGAATCTCTTTGAAATGTACCACAGCAAGACAAATGATAAAATTAAGGAGCAAATTAGAAAAGACATGGCAGAAAATGGTAAAATCAGAATTCTGATTTGTACCAATTCAGCTGGTATGGGTGTCAATTTTCATAATGTGCACAATATCATTCATTATGGCTTACCCAGAGAAATGGACATATTTGTACAACAAATGGGTCGAGCAGGGCGTGATGAAGAATACAGCAAGCAACTTATTTTATACAAGATGCATAAGGGACATCTTAGTAGAGTGGAAGGTGATTTGGTGAAACTTGTGAAAGATGATGCCACATGCAGACGTAAAACACTGTGTGATTCATACGTGACAGTACATGAACCTGTTATTCCGAAACATAAATATTGTGATGTCTGTGAGAAACAATGTGATTGTGGTGAGGAATCATGCCCCAATATCCATAGGGCATTGGCAGCTGATCCTAATAATATGGAGGATGAAACTGTTGAGAGGTAACTGGAGACGACAGAAAACTTAGGGGCATAAACTTTCGGTGTTAAAATATTCATTTGAATCAGACCTAAGCAATGTTTTAATAACATCAGAAATTCTGCATGGAATCACTGATCAAGTAATTGATGATATTGTGCTTAAGTGTCATACATTTTTTACGATGTCAGACATTCTAAAAATGTTCCTAGTTTGGTCGTTTGAAATAGCTGTCCAGATTATGAAAGAGATAAATACTGTGACTGGAGATTCAGATATGTTTGACATACTTTCAGGAAGTGATGAGGTGTCAGATGAAGACTCGGACTAATTAGAAAGCTGTTTCTACACTTTTTATTATAAAATATGTGCATCTCATTACAATTTACTGTTTTAAAAAATATTATGCATTCACTATTTGTTATTGTAACACAATGCACATCGATTAAAAGGTAGTATATATTGCAATATCTCACAGTGGTTATATTATATTTGTTACCATTTGAAATTATTAAACTGAGTTATATGAAAAAGTGATAATGATAGAGCTAGAGATGTAAAAAAAAACTTGTGTCAAAAATTTCTCTTATTGTTTTGAAGGCATTCAATTTCAGTTGCACAATAAAACATGTCTGTACTATTTATTTTCAACGACATGTAATAAATTGTTGCCGCCTATGTACCTGAGTCAATTTTTATCAAGGTTAAAAAAACAAAAAAAACAACCCATTATTTCATCATTAGTAAACGAATTAATTTCACAATTACATGGCTGTCAACTATGTATATACTAGGTTAAGTTTGTTTAACACTAACAGGTGGATTCATTGTGAGAATTGTGTTGCACATACACTAGAGATAACAACTGGACAAATGTAAAATTTTGTTAGAGACAATATGAAACATTAAACAGCATACATGTATTCCACATCAAAGTTCTGAGTAAACTTGAATTTACAATATTAAGAAGTGCACGTGCACTTACAGCAAGACTTTCATCAAGTCAAAACATAGTACAGTTATAGCAATGCCACCATACTGAGAAGAACAAACATGAACAGTTTAAAATCTATCCAATTAAAAGACGTTCTTTTGCTTCAGTTTACCAAGTATAAAACTCTTGAACTTTTACCCTTGCATCCTTAAAGCCACAGAATGAATTGAATTCACGACCTGGGATATTTTCCATAATGCCTGCTTTAACATTTTTTTCAACCATAAGACTGATATCCCCAGCTTTTGAAACTGCAGGTCTTTTTGCTCCAGACACTTTTGCATGACTTTGACTTGCTAGATTTTGCAAGTGCAGCTTTCCGTGCACTTTCATATGTTGCATTAGACCCAATGTGACTGCACTTTTTAGCCCACCTGCCCGAAGGGCAAGTGAGCTTATGTTATGGTGCGGGTCCGTCGTCCGTCCGTCCGTCCGTCTGTCGTCCGTCGTCCGTCCAGCGTCAACTTTTTGCTTTAAACAACTTCTTCTCAATAACCAAAAGGCCTAGGAAGATGATATTTGGCCAGTAGCATGCTGGGATCAAGGGCTACCAAGTTTGTTCGAATAAATGACCTTGACCCACTTTCAAGGTCACAGGGGTCAAATTTGTTTAAATCTTCAAACAACTTCTTATCAATAACCAAAAGGCCCATGGTACTGATATTGGGCCTGTAGCATGCTGGGAGGAAGGGCTACCAAGTTTGTTCAAATGAATGACCTTGGCCCACTTTCAAGGTCATTAGGGTCGGATGTCTTAAATCTTCAAACAGCTTCTTCTCAATTACCAAAAGGCCCAGTATACTGAAATTGGGCCTGAAGCATGCCAGGATGAAGGGCTACCAAGTTTGTTCAAATAAATGACCTTGACCAACTTTCAAGGTCACAGGGGTTGAAATATGTTAAAATCTTCAAACAACTTCTTCTCAATAACCAAAAGGCCTAGGAAGATGATATTTGGCTAGTAGCATGCTGGGATCAAGGGCTACCAAGTTTGTTCAAATGAATGACCTTGACCAACTTTCAAGGTCATTGGGGTCAGATGTCTTTAAAATCTGCAAACAACTTCTTCTCAATAACCAAAAGGCCCAAGGTACTGATATTGGGCCTGTAGTATGCTGGGATAAAGGGCTACCAAGTTTATTCAAATGAATGACCTTGACCAACTTTCGAGGTCACTGGTGTCAGATGTCTGTAAAATCTTGAAACAACTTCTTATCAATAACCAAATGGCCCAGGGTACTGATATTGGGCCTGTAGCATACTGGGATGAAGGCTACCAAGTTTGTTCAAATGAATGACCTTGACCAACTTTCAAGGTCATTGGGGTCAGATGTTGTAAAATCTTCAAGCTACTTCTTTTCAATAAGCAAAAGGCCCAGGGTACTGAAATTGGGCCTGTAGCATGCTGGGATGAAGGACTACCATGTTAGTTCAAATGAATGACCTTGATCCACTTTCAACCTAATTTCCTTGTTCAACAATCAAGGTCAGAGGCGTCATATGTTTAAATCTTTTAATAGGTTCTTATAAAATCTTAAGATTACAAGTGTTAGATTAATAACAGGTGAGCGATGCAGGCCCATTGGGCCTCTTGTTTCTTAATTGCTTGAACCTGAAGTTCTACAAGTTTGTCATTTGGTATGTTATGTCCTATACCTCCATGCAAGTTGGTTGTGCAATTCCATTTGTATTCAAATGACATTTTTAGGTCACTTGAGACAAAGTCTCAAGTGACCTATTGCGATCGCCTTTTGTCCGTCGTCGTCCGTCGTGCGTCCGTAAACAATTTACATTTTCGACTTGTTCTCCAAAACCCCTGAACCAATTTCAATGAAATTTTGCAGGGACCTTCCATGGACAAAGGTCAACAAAAAGAGTTGCCGGCTTAGTCCTACGCCCCCAGGGGCCTGAGGGGCGGGGCCAAAAAGGGTCAAATTGACTAAAATTTCAAAAATCTTCTTCTCCAAAACCCCTGAACCAATTTCAATGAAATTTTGCAGGGACCTTCCATGGACAAAGGTCAACAAAAA